GAATTATTTGTTTTCCCACCGTAGAAAATGACTTAGCGGGTCACGTACTCCCTATTGATCTGCATGTGATGCATGCCGATATTGAACATAATGATGTTAGAGGAAGAGATGGATAGGTTGGGAGAGATGATTGAGTGGCTGGTTGACTTTTGGGATGCATGATAGATTGGATGGTTGACTGTTGGGATGTATTAGGGTTGGCTGATTCATTGTTGGGATGGATGATAGATTGGCTGGTTGATGTTTGGGATGGATGATAGATTGGCTGGTTGATTTTTGGGATGATGATAGATTGAACGGTGGACTGTTTGGATGGGTATATGAACGGACGACTAACTAAAAATTATCAGCCATTTCAAAATAAGACACACGGCAACCCCAAAGGAGACAGTCACAGTACAAATAGACTTGGATCAAGACCAATGTGCCTTGGTCTTTTTGTGTCTGTCTTTTATTGAAAAAAACAACAAAACAACCCAAAAAAGCCCAACAACTTGAAGATTGGACTGAGAGATGAAATTCGACCCCTAGTCATTATCTCTACATTTCTACGTCTCAATTTACTTGGGTTTTTTTTTCGTCATCATTTCAGTGTCTCCCGTTACTATAATTTGATGGACGCAGCGAGATTTAAAAAAAAAAAAGAAGGAAAGAGTGAGAGTGACTCGTCATTGCAGGAATGGTGGACGAGATGAAATCTCTCGCCTCGTCTGCCAGGCTTTGTTGGCGGTAGATTGCCACTTCAGCGGTTCTCAAAGCACCAGAGCCTGGTGCATTAACCTTCTTATTTATTGTAAAGGAATATAAAACGTATGCGTCTGTCTGTTTGGACGAGCACCCTCCTATAATCTACCGCTAGCCCAAGACGTAAACCATGAACATTTTAAGCACTTTCTGGATACATTGCCACAGGCATCGCATTTTGAGAACGCCTGAACGCGTCGACGCCGTAGAGACCTTAGAGTTGCTTGTCCTCTCTCGTCATTAGTCACATTACGTGATACGACTTACAAAACGGGAGTACGTAAAAAAAGAGGTTTTTTTTTTTAAAAAAAAGGAAACTAGTTATCCAATTGATTTAGTAAACTGATCTTGGTTGACTAGAAGAACGCTGATCTAACTAAGCGGAGAATGTATTATTTTTTTTTTTCGGGGCAGGGTGGGCGTGGTCCGGAATGTGGTGGTAAGGGTTTTTATGAGATTAATCTAGAATGGAACTATTTAGAGTTGTTGAAGTAGAGGTTCAGAGATTATAAAAGCGGTCGAACTTTTCGTCGCGAGGAATAAGCCGTATCCATGACGTCATTAAAAAAATTGTTGACTCTTACGGCAATAGTCGGGAAAACGTGGCTTTTTGAATGAACAGACGTGGCTCTTTGAATGAATAGACGTGGCTCTTTGAATGAATATTCGTAGCTCTGTTGTTTTTGTTTGTTTGTTTTTTTGTTTGGGGAGGGTGGGTTGTTTTGTTGTTTGGTTCTACTATAAAATGAGATTCGGCTCCAATAATATTAGCTTATCAGATATAAAAATGATAAAAATGGCTCCTTGCTAAAAGAGAGGGATGCCGACGTCTTAACTAAGGTGAAAGACCAATCAGTGCCAGCACTTTGCCAGACATTATGGCAGGAGGACTTGATTCCAGGTGGGTCATGAAGAACATCCGAGGCCATCGCTGCTGTGTTTAAGTAGTTAACCCACGCTTCATAACGATGTCGTTACCTGTCTTCCGGTTTCTGGTTTGACACACGAATGCTTTTAACTGGTGACAAAATGTGCAGAGGGTACGCCCATGAGGCCATCCAAGGGGACATAAGTTGCGATTTACGTTTCGATATACGATGCTGATAACATAAAACAATCATAAGATAAAACAAGATAAGATAAAACAAGATAAGATGAAACAAGATAACATAAAACATGATAAGATAAAAAAGAAGACTTAAAACAAGATAACATAAACCACGATAAGATGAAACAAGATAACATAAAACAAGATAAGATGAAACAAGATAACATAAAACATGATAAGATAAAAAAGAAGACGTAAAACAAGATAAGATAAACCAAATTGATAACATTTTTTATGGACGTGTAGGCACATTTAATTGGATAACACATCACAGTAAAAAGGGTGACAAAAATGTTGACCCTTGCCCAGTAACATTTTGAAATGAAGATCTCCCCCCCCCCCCCCCCCCCCCCCCCCCCCCCTCCCCCCTCCCCCCCCCCCCCCCCGCTCCTTCTCCCACTTAGCTCTCCCCACCTCTCTCTCACTCCTTTCTATCTCCCTCTCCATTCTCTCGCCCACCTCTTTCTCACCACATCTCTCTCCCTTCTCTCTAGTCTCCCCCTCTCTCTCCTCTCCCCCTCTCCCCCTCTTTCTCCTCTCTAGCTCCTCCGCACCTCTTCCCACTCTTTCTCTTCAATAAACTTCTAGTCTTAATTAATAAAGAAGAAAAAAATGTTCATTATTAAAGGATAAATTATTCGTTATTCCAGCAGAAATCAATTATTGATTATACCCCCACCCTCACCCCCTTCCATTTTTTTTGCTTGGTCTGCCCTCACTTAAGAGCGGTTCGTTCCAGCTATGCCATGGGCGGCACTTAAAAAGGGTCTTTGTTATTTTCCTTTGATTCTCCGGGAAGGAATTTATCTGATAGCGTATACATGAGATTTGGCGGATAGAGAACACATGTAATTTACTTGGTGTTGTTTCAATGGCGTGATTCACTCTAATAAACATACACCAGACAATGGCGCAAGCGATTTATCTGCTAATGTACACAAAACGTACATACATATATGATTTACATAATATTGTACACGCCAGAGGCAAAGTGTGTAATCCAGGCGTTCCACAGTACGCCAAGGCTTTTTATGGAAGGCCTTGAATGCCTACCGATTCTAGTGAGAGATGGACCTCACTCAGCCTTTAACATACACGTGAGGTGAATAAGACCGCAGGGCTCATCATGTGATAGCGGAAATCTATTAATAGAGCTGCTGTAATCATCCGGGTACTCATATCGGACAAAATGTCAATACTGTGTTAAGTACCACTATGTTAGCGAAGAGGCCGTTAACCTAAATCAAAACTTAACTACTACATTTTAAGAAATATTTTACGCATTTTTTACTACTATCTTGTGAAATGGGACGTCATTGCGCGTACGGCACAAGTGAATCTAGTGAACCTAGATACAAGGACTGTCCGAACGATATGCTGAAACACATTATTTGTTTTAAGAAATATTTGTCTTACGTTCTAAAAATAGTAACGTTATGACGTTTTCCGGTCTGAGAAATGACAAACCCTATAGCGTTCTCATTGTTGTTTTTCGGATATAGTCAGCCGTCTCGTATACAACTAATTTTTTTGTTTCATGCGATTTGGTAGAAAAGGGGCGTTGGGACGTTTAACAGCTTTTTTAAGAAACCAGGCGTAAGATTGTATCACAATGTTTCACGGCAATGCTCACAAAGCTTGGAGTGGTTGAAATATGCCAAGATTAATGGATGCATAAAGATAAGACCAGCCTAAAGATGGCATCAGCCTAAAGATAACATCAGCCCAAAGATTACATCATCAGGGACTTCAGGGATGTCTCATTTACGATAAAAACTTGTAACAAAATGCACCAAACGCATATATCAGTTTTATCATAGACCAAAATAAAAAAAAATGTAATTAATTTTATTATAGACTATTTTAATACGTCTTATAGGCACGTTGAATGTTTCAGATGTATTATATTATCTTTGACATACATTATATTTATTAAAGCCAAGTATTAAATGCAATAAAGTCACATAATTCATGTACCTAAAGATGCATGGGGCTTATCGTAATATCTATTCGTTTCAATAGACAAAATTTAAAACAAAAAACAAATATGGTTCACAAATGTAAAAATAAAAAAAAAAAAAAAAAAAAAAAAAAAAAAAAAAAAAAAAAAAATAAAAAAAAAAAAAAAAAAAAAAAAAAAAAAATGTAAAAAAAAAAAAAAAAAAAAAAAAAAAAAAAAAAACAACAACAAAAAAAAAAAAATTAAATAATTAGACAAAAAAAAAAACAAGGACTACTTTTTTTCTTTTTATATTTTAAGAAATTGAAATCGTCTTTGATTCCAAACAAATTGTTTGAGTAGAGCCCGTAGTCCAAATGATGAGGGATCATTATCTCCAATCAGCGTAAGATGATTCAGTCTAGACAAAAGGCGAAGGTGGACATTTATCTTATCATTTTTAAATCGATTCTTTTTTGTTACAGAAAAAAAAGAGACAAAAAAAAAAAGACAAAAAATTGTATTGTTAGTCGCCTCGGGGTCTCGTCTAATTACGTCTGTAGTTAACGGCCGACTAGTTTGGATTACATGCCAGACTAAAGCAATACTGAGAGATGATACATTCATTAAACAGATATTATTGAACTTGATCGCGAACTTGATGTTTTTATGTGGAATATAAATAAAAGGCTGACCTAAAGCAGAAAATCATTTAAAAGTTGTCCTAACCTTCAAACAAACAAAAATAAATGTAAAACAAAACACTAACAACACATACTGCAACAATGAGCGTTTACAGTAACAACCATTGGTGTTTGAACAGGAATCTCTGAGCGATGGTTACGACAGACGCCCACCAGAAATATTCCCCAGATAAAAAAAAAAGTTGTAAAAATAAGGCGAACACGACTCTTACTTTAGCTGGCTGCGACGCTAGACGTCACACGGCGAAATGAGTTGAAATGAATGCCGATCTGTTACCTTTATAAATAATAGCAATAGCGAATGCCTATTCGAAGTGTGTTCTTTCGATGATATTTGTCCGCTCAACTCTCTGGTCTTCCCCCCTGCGGTCACGTTAGTTCCTGTTTGCTTCATTTTCATCGATTTCGAATTTAGATAATAATCTTTTTATTTCGAAAATACAAAATAACCAACAACAAAACGACAAATAATATTTAAAAAAAAAACCAACAATAAACAAAGCAATGTGTTTAGTACTGGTCTTGTATTTCTTAGAAAACTAACCATTCGATTGATTCATGGTTTCCATATGGTATTATTAGATATAAAAATGAAAATTCTCTTCAAGTAAATTTTACTTAATGATTTTAGGCACTAACTGGTGCAGCAGTAATTATGTTACTGACTTTTTATGGGCACAAATACAATATTATTAGTGATAGTTTCCTTTGCTGTGTTTGTTTGATTACAAATTACAACTATTTTTTTTCCAGTATGACTGTGAAGTATTTTAATATTATTAAAGTTGGTGAAAATAGATTAAGGACTAGAGATTTGCTTCAGTTCTCCAGTCATTTATTAAAAGACGAATTTGTCATTTAAACAAGGTTTCTAAGTGAATGCTTCTGACTCTATCGCCAACACTTGATAATGCTTTTATTGAACCTGACAGCATGACACTATTATTCGAGTTATACAGCAGGACAATATTTGTAGTTTAACGTGACTTATCTATTTTGAACGAACTTTGAACTGGACTCGCTTCTAATTCTTGACACAGTTAATATTGTACATGTACCCTGGGCGGGGTGGGACGGGTTTCCGCTTCTGCAACCCCGGCGTGGTCGGGATGAGAACCTCCTCTGCCGTGCAGGTCGTCCCTGGGGTGCAGCTGCAGTAGCCGTTGATTCGATCGTACAAGCCGCACGGCTCGCTCTCCAGGGCGTATTTCTGGCATGTGCCGGAGGTGGCCCTTTTACTTACGATCATGAACTCACTGAGGATCTGGCAGCATTCTCCCGCGTCGCACTGGGAGTTGTCTGTGCATGTCTTGTCGACAGCTGCCTGGAAGTGGTACGGTATAATGACGTGACTTTTGCCACAGTGTCCCCGAGCATCATTCATGTATGTTAAATCGTAGGACGGAAATTGAGTTTCGAATAAGATTATACGGTAATAAGATAAAATATGAAATGTCTCTATATTATTTATGATCTCAATGCTTGAGATTCTTTTTTTTGGGGGGTCCACTTTCGAGTGGTCTTTATTACCAAGGCAATCGCATGATATTTTATTCAGTGCTTTAATCATTACAATTCACCTAAAGAAAACATAATATCCTTGAACTTACAATGTCGGCTCATTTATTATTAAAATGTTTATTTGTTAAGACTGCACTAAGTATTTGTTAAGACTGCACTAAGTATTTGTTAAGACTGCACTAAGTATTTGTTTAGACTGCACTAAGTATTTGTTAAGACTGCACTAAGTATTTGTTAAGACTGCACTAAGTATTTGTTAAGACAGCACTAAGTATTTGTTAAGACAGCACTAAGAATTTGTGAAGACTGCACTAAGTATTTGTTAAGACTGCACTAAGTATTTGTTAAGACTGCACTAAGCTAACAAAGCTAACCTAAGAAGTCAACGCTAGTGTTACTTACTGTAACAGAAACAACGGCAAGACAGACGCAGGCTAGGAATGTAAGGTAACTCATCGTAGTATCAGGATGCCTTTTGCCTAACATATGACTACAAATCAATCAATTTAAGTCCCAACTGACCATCTATTTAAACGCTTAAAATTCGTTTGCATAATGTTTCTTTTTCTGTATAGATAAGACCGCTGAATTGTTGTTTTTAAAATAATAAAAAATTCGAAGGCATAGACTTAGCAAAAGTTCCCTGAAATGTTTGCTTTTAAAAATAATCCACGAATTTTAACAGAACTTTGGGGCGCAAAAGATTAACTAAATTGGGATAGTTAAGAGCAACCGTTGATTTTTATTAATTAATTGTATGACAGTGACTAATTTATAGAGTTAAGTATTAGCACTCGTATAATTTGAGAACCACTAACACCTGTCCACCGTTATCTTTCTTCGGACTAAAGTATCGTTACACATATAAATAGTTCCTCCTGTAATTTGTAAATGAAAGCACAAACGTTACCACGGCACTCTATGATTTGAACGAAATTTTAACCGCCTGTGAATTAATTTAGTTAACCTCAAACCAGTGGTTCACAACAGTTGTTGACCAATGTCCCATACTTTCTGCTGCAAAGATCTGGGACACCAAGCAATATTTTTATAACAAGAATTAAAAAAAAAAAAGAAGAATGATGTACTCAACATTTCAATTTCGAGGAGCGCCTTCAGAACATCTGAAAACCCCTTTGTAGGCCGTGACCTACTTTAAACAAGTCGGTCATGACCTATTCAATGTTCGTAAAATGTTTTGAAATCGCTTCGCGCCTTCAAAAACATTATTACGACCCTTTTCAAAAATATCTTTTTGTTTTAGATCATGACCTATAAAATGGGTCTTAAAAATGTTTTTGAAGACGGGGAACGCTTTCAAAACATTTTACGACCATTTAATAGGTCATGACCTACTTCTTATTTAAAAACGATGCTATGCATGTGGGTATATAAAAAAAATAATTTTAAAAGCTTTTTTTAAATTATATCAATCTTTCAAGTGACATGAGTTGGATGCAGACTGCAATGCTTCAAAAGATCAACATTTATTGAGAACATATCTTTATCCTTTTTTTGAAAAAAGAGAAGAAGAAACACGTATTCTTTGAAGTTAACACACTGTACTTTGGTTAGAGAGTTCAACGGGTCTTAAATTAGAGGATTAATCTACCCGTGAGACGAGATTATAGAGAACGAGTACAGTTGCTTAGGAATAGGTTGGACTTCATTGACTCAGTTTCTTCACATTGGATGCATTAGAAAAGATTAAACTAGAAACCTTAAATCTATTACTCATTAAATGTACGAAAGAGTGTTTCGGTAGACTCATCTGAAAGGGTGTGTGTACAAACATGTCCTTTAGGGGCCTTGTTAGCCCATTTACAAACTAATCTTCTTTCTTGGACGTTTTCTTTGATTCTGCAGCTCAAAAACCTCATTAAACAAAAACATCTGAGTAAACGTCCACCCCTCTCTTTCCCCCCCTCTTTCTGCTTGTTCCCTCTTTGCCCCCTCTCTTTCTGTTCTTTTTTTTAATGCTCTTTCACTCTGTCCCCACTCTGTTCACTCTCTTCTGACACCATTTATGATGACATAATTCATGATGAAATTATTTATGCTGACACCATTTATGCTGACACAATTTATGCTGACATCATGCTGACACATATGCTAACATCATGCTGACACATTATGCTGACACATTATGCTGACACATCACGCGGACACATTATGTTGACACATCATGCGGACACATTATGCGGACACATCATGCGGACACATTATGCTGACACATCATGCGGACACATTATGCTGACACATTATGCGGACACATCATGCGGACACATCATGCGGACACATTATGCTGACACATCATGCGGACACATCATGCTGACACATCATGCAGACACATCATGCAGACACATCATGCGGACACATCATGCGGACACATCATGCTGACACATTATGCGGACACATCACGCGGACACATTATGCTGACACATCATGCGGACACATTATGCGGACACATCATGCGGACACATTATGCTGACACATTATGCGGACACATTATGCTGACACATTATGCGGACACATTATGCTGACACATTATGCGGACACATCACGCTGACACATTATGCAGACACATTATGCTGACACATTATGCGGACACATTATGCGGACACATTATGCGGACACATCATGCGGACACATTATGCTGACACATTATGCTGACACATCATGCGGACACATTATGCTGACACATCATGCGGACACATTATGCTGACACATTATGCTGACACATTATGCTGACACATTATGCGGACACATTATGCTGACACATTATGCGGACACATTATGCTGACACATTATGCGGACACATCACGCTGACACATTATGCGGACACATCATGCGGACACATTACGCTGACACATTATGCTGACACATTATGCGGACACATCATGCGGACACATTATGCTGACACATTATGCGGACACATCATGCGGACACATTATGCTGACACATCATGCGGACACATTATGCTGACACATTATGCTGACACATTATGCGGACACATTATGCGGACACATTATGAAATCATTGTTTTTAGTTTCCAAATTTAAAATGACTATTAAGTCAATGTGTGAAACATATTACTTCCGATGTGAAGAAGGGAGGGTTGGGGGGGGGGGATAACTGAAGGACACAGTTACACCATTTAAACTATGAAGAACAGTCCAGAGTTGCAGTGGTATATGGTCTCGGTAGAGCCTCTTCATACTATCTTAAAATCAAAACTAGTTCATAAAAAATTCTGTGATTCTTAAGTTTAAAAAGAGAAAGAAAAAAAAAAGTTATAGATAATCGATCTAAATTATAAAAAATATTGCTTGAAATTACCTTGCTAATGGATTTGAATTATTCATATTAGAGCTCACAGGAAAAACATCAGCAGCAACAAAACAATATTCTTCAAACGCATAACATAAGCGCCACACCGAGAGAGGGGATCTATGGATATGAATGAACCCCAAGGAACCGTTGGACAACGCGATGCTTTGAAGCAGGCTCAACAGCTCCAGAGACCCGAGGCCCGGATCTTTAATCTGGTAATCGGTGTTTCCGCTTGGCCAGGCATCAGGATATTATCAATGGGCAGATAATCTCGTCTTCGGCACCCCATCAAAGCCGTGACTGGGGGGTGGGGGGGTGGCTCCTAGTAATCGCCCCCTCAAACGAATATTCGATGACTATCTGAGATTGCCTTTGATGGCCGACAACTCCACTCAGTTATTGCTTTGTTTCGTTTCAGAGTGTTGGTGTCCGACAAACAAGTTTTGTAAAAATCGTGCCGTCATAATGGTGGGCCAGGTAACGGCACTGCGTTTTTTTTAGGGACAGAATATTTTTAACTGCTAGACTGGCTGAACATGTAAGTAACCGAGGCAATCAGAGAATTCTTATACCCACAAGGAAAAAACAAACCAGTGACACCTAGCGAAACGAACTCATCGTGTGTCAATTCGTAAACCATGATCTTGGTTAGAGAGTTCTTTTTTTTTTTTTTTTACATAAGTAGTAGAGCAAGGTTTGTCTTGTTCTATTTACTAACTTAACATGACGTGATAATACTATACTAACCAATCTTGATAATACTATACCAACCAATCTTGATAATACTATACTAACACATCTTGATACTACTTTAATAACCAATCTTGATAATACTTTACTAACCAATCTTGATAATACTTTACTAACCAATCTTGATAATACTATACTAACCAACTTGATAATACTTTACTAACCAATCTTGATAATACTATACTAACCAATCTTGATAATACTATACTAACCAACTTGATAATACTTTACTAACCAATCTTGATAATACTTTAATAACCAATCTTGATAATACTATACTAACCAATCTTGATAATACTTTAATAACCAATCTTGATAATACTATACTAACAAATCTTGATAATACTTTACTAACCAATCTTGATAATACTTTAATAACCAATCTTGATAATACTATACTAACCAATCTTGATAATACTTTAATAACCAATCTTGATAATACTATACTAACCAATCTTGATAATACTATACTAACAAATCTTGATAATACTTTACTCACCAATCTTGATAATACTATACTAACCAATCTTGATAATACTTTAATAACCAATCTTGATAATACTATACTAACCAATCTTGATAATACTTTAAGAACCAATCTTGATAATACTATACTAACCAATCTTGATAATACTATACTAACCAATATTGATAATACTATACTAACCAATCTTGATAATACTATACTAACCAATCTTGATAATACTATACTAACCAACTTGATAATACTTTAATAACCAATCTTGATAATACTATACTAACCAATCTTGATAATACTTTAATAACCAATCTTGATAATACTTTACTAACCAATCTTGATAATACTATACTAACCAACTTGATAATACTTTACTAACCAATCTTGATAATACTATACTAACCAATCTTGATAATAATATACTAACCAACTTGATAATACTTTACTAACCAATCTTGATAATACTATACTAACCAATCTTGATAATACTATACTAACCAATCTTGATAATAATATACTAACCAATCTTGATAATACTATACTAACCAATCTTGATAATACTATACTAACCAATCTTGATAATACTATACTAACCAATCTTGATAATACTTTACTAACCAATCTTGATAATACTATACTAACCAATCTTGATAATACTATACTAACCAATCTTGATAATACTATACTAACCAATCTTGATAATACTATACTAACCAATCTTGATAATACTATACTAACCAATCTTAACCCCCTGGAGACGGATGGGCCGATCTATTGACGCAGGCTGGAGTAGCGAAAAAGGCGGACGTCCGATCTATCGGCCCGATAATTTACGTCTCGAGATCGGCTGGCTAGGCTTCGTACCTGCCAATCAGATTGCTTCGTACATATTCCTGCACATTCTGGCATTGTAATGGCAGCCTCCAGTTTATTGTGTACTAGCTTTTGTTGTTATCAGGAATTTTGTGGGTGTGTGGCAAGAAATATCGTAAAATTCCAAAAAAAAATTTCCTACCGTAATACTGATCAAGATTTCCTTAGTGATTTTGATGTTCTAGCGGTGAATCTGAAAGTGACGAAAA